TAAAATCCCATTTTCTACAAGAAGCCTTGCCTGATTTTAGAACCTTCTCTCTGTTGATTATCTCCAGTTAATCCTGAATATATCTTGTCTGTCTATAATCATTTGTATGTTTTCTTTCTTATTAAGCTGTGAGTTCCTTGTGATCAGGGTCTGTCGTTTGCCTTACTTTGTGTCCCTAACACTTAGCACAGTGCCTGGAACATAGTACGCCCTTAATAAATGGTTATTGACTGAGTGACACATATTGTGACAGGAGGGAAAAGAAGCCCAAAACAGGGGTGAAGGAATGGGAGAATTAGCAGGAATGATTGAACAACCTGATGTTACTATGTAGAAGAATACCAAGAATAGAGTCTGTGCCAATCTTACAGTAAAGTTACATTGGGATGTTGCTAATTATAGCTAATTTTCTTCCTAGATCAAAAGGCATTGTCTTTCCACATGCCGTATTTGAAAGGTAAAGCAAATACTTGGGTAAAGCTATTGGTCATAATGTCATTTTAGCATTATAAAAGGGGAAGAAATTACTTGCAACACTCCAATATTAATTTGCATGTATTTATGGAGACAGTGTTCCCTTCAAAACATATTTCCGAGACATATAAATGAAATTCAATAGTAAAATAGGATTCAGTATTTATTAGTTTGCTTTAAACACAAATTTAGGCAGCATGCTTATTTCTATAGTGAAGAATATGTGTACTTTATAATATTTTTTTTAGGATATTAAGAATTAGTATTCCACATATCACTTTAACAATTCTAGAAGGTAAAGGTCAAGATATTGCTTATGACTAGGCCCATTTTTATAGGTTACATTTAATTTAACTGTCATTATTATCTTTAACATATAAATCTGTATTAAGGGGCAGCTAGGTGGCACAGTGGATAGAGCACTGGCCCTGAAGTCAGGAGGACCTGAGTTCAAATATGGCCTCAGACCAAACATTGACACTTACTACCTGTGTGACCCTGGGCAAGTCACTTAACCCCAATTGCCTAAAAATAAAAAAAAATTAATAAAGATCATTAATTTGAATATGTAAAGGTCTTTACAAGCAAAATGAACAAGGAAGTGACACAATGTTCTTTTTTACTAATAACGACCACTAACAAATGTAGGAAATATGAAAATGTAGAAAGTTGAGTATAACAATTAAACAACATTTTACATAGTTTTATCATATTATCTTTTTTATAACCTGGACTTTTCTTACCTTTCCAGTTGTCTTTCTTTTATTCCCCTCTCTGTATTCTGCAATCCAGATATACATACTGTTGCACTCTACCTCCATCACCTTTGCACTAGTTGTGCACCATACTTGTAATGCTCTCCTTCCCTCTCAACCTGTTTTTCCTAGATTCGCCGGCTTCCTTTAAGACTCGGTTCAAACATCGTCTTCTTCCAGAAGGACTTTCCTGGTCTTCCCCACTCTCAGCTCCAAGTGTCTTTGTCTCTACGATTACATATTTATTTAAATATGGTCTCCCCCGTTTAGATATAAGGTTCTTGTGCACAAGAAATGTTTTAGGCATTTATCTTTATCTCTGGTGCTTATCACAATGTCTGGCACTTAGCAAATATTTAATAAATATTTGTTGATTGATTTATAGTACCTCTGATTTTTTTCTCCCACTCATTAAGGCCGCTTCCCAGAAACACTGATAGCTTGAATGTTTAACAATGTCAGCATTCGATGCAACTTGTATTTGCCACTGTGTCTGGCTAAATGAGAAAATGACCCAATATGTATTCTGAAACTGGTTCTGTTGTTCTTTGTAGGGAACTTTATGATATTAAAGCAACTACAAACTAACACAGAGACCTGACTTTTTTCTCTGACCACAATTTGCTTTGTTCCATTTATATAATTATTTCCCAGCTATGACTCAGCAATTAATTTTTACTATTTATTGTTTTGATACTATAAATAATTTAATCTATTTAATATGCTTGCTGTTTACATCCCATACCTTGTACCTATCTCAACATATGGCTTCACACTTAATTTGATTTTACTTATTTCATATTACATACAAAATATGATCTAAAATTTAATTTAAATTCACAAGATTTACTAAGTGTTTTCTTATGATTTTCCTTAAACACAAATTTTACTGTATGGCTTCCCTACTCAATAATTCTAGTTGTTCCCTATTGTCTCTAGAATTAAATATGAAGTCCTTTGTTTGACTTTTAAAGCCCTTCACCACATGTGCTAACCTCTTTCCACCTTCATTATAAATCATCCTCCTTCCCGTACTCTGTTATCTGCCAGAATTGGCTTTCTCTCTTGCACACACAACATTTCATTCACTTGCTCATGCTCATGCTCGTTGCTATACTTCCTCCCCACCTCCACTTCAGAGACCCTCTCTTCTTTCAAGATACACCTCAAACTCCACCTTCTAGACACAGTCTTTATTTCTTGATCCTCCAAATGCTAGTGACCCACATAACTACTTTATATTTAATTGTATTTATTTTGTATTTATTTTGCACTTATTTTAAATATATTCATCTGTGAACATGTCACATAAGTGACTTAAAAAGAGTGTTTATTTAGTTTTTGGTTTTATATCTATATCCCCAAGCACCTAGCATAGTTCCTGGCACAGAGTAGACACAATAAATGCTTTCTGATTGACTGTTGACTCTGCAAATTTGATAAATTAAATATTTTAAATTTTAATGTATGTAATTTAATGCATACATTAAATTTTAATGCATTTAATTTAATGCATTACCACATTACGAGAAGAAATGACGTAAACTTTCACATAATTTGGATATATTTGTTGAAGTGGTATTCTGGACAAAGAGTGAAAGTTTGGTTTTAAAACTAATTTTTGATCCATTCCTTCAAGTTGGCATGAACCATGCTTGCTGCCATGCTTCCCTGTGATAAACTGAATTTGTCTGTATGAAGAGAGAAAGACAAGGTTTTGTTTGGAATTTCCCATTAAAGCTCAAACCTATAAGCTATATTTACAGTATAGATGTCTTCTGTAAGCTTAAGGAAATTTTCTGAAAAATTGGTTGCATTCTTTTTGATAAATGGAATTTTTTTCCATAAGTGAAAATAGACTGATGAAATCTAAGTTCCCAGTTGACTCAGATGACTATTAATAAATTCAGCCGTAATATTCATTTTGCAGATGAATAAATTCAGGCAGACACTGAGAAGTGAAATGGCTTTCCTCACATCACACAGTTAATTAGTGATAGTCCTGGGGCTCAATCTACAATTTCCTGACTCTTGGTCCATTGTCCCCCCGCCCTACTATACAAGACTGTAATGACATCATATATATATGTGTGTGTGTGAGAGTGTGTGTGTGTATCCATACATATATATTTGACATCATTTATATATAATATATGAATATGTATATATGCTCACTTATGTGCATATGTCTACATGTGTATGTGCGTGTGTACATATATGTGTATGTGTGTATATATATGTGGTTTGGGGAGGTTATTTTTGTTTTTTGTTTTGGTGTGGGGAACTTCTGGGGAGGAACTTCCTGTACCAATGGATATCTGTACCTTCTCTGCCTGGAGGAACTAAGAAGTTAAGGGACTTGTTCAGTGTCATAAACCAGTATGTATCAAGACTTGAACCCAGGTCTTCTTGATTCCAGAATCAACTCTTTTTAATCTATGCTGCTGCTCATTGATATTTGAGGTGAAAAGGTATGATTTTTTTGGTGCAGCATGATGTCTTCAAACCAAAGTAACTCTGTACTACCATCATTTTATCTCTTCATAAAATTTACCAATATGGCAATTTTCAAAAGAGATAGAGACAAAAAGCAGCTTGTCATTTCTTATCCTGTTAATTTGAACTTCATATTCTGTATAGTTATGTTATAATGATAAATACTATTAAAGACTCTTGAATTATTCCTAAGTCCCTCTGAACTATCAAAGCAGAACTGAATTATGTTCAGTGAAATTTGTTTTATTCATGTTTTACATTCCATTTATTTGGAAAAGAGCAAACTATCAGTGTGTGCTGGGCCTAGAAACAGGAAAACTGGAGTTCAAATCTCGTCTCAGAAACTTACTACATATATTACCCTGGGCAAGTCACTTAACCTCTGATTGCCTCAATTTCCTTTCTGTTAAATGGGGATAATAATAGCACCTACAGCAAAGAGTTGTTGTGAAGATCAAATGAGATAATATTTGTAAAGTGATTAGCACAGTGCCTGGTGGTTAGCAGATGCGATATAAATGCTTATTCCCCCTGTCTATACACTAGAATATTAAATTAATCTGAAAACTCTATTTCCTGACTACCGTAGAAAACAGTAACTATACTACCATAAACAAATATCAATTTGATCATTGTAGTTTCATTATAAATTATAATGAACTTTCCTAATAAGCCTACAGTTATCTTAAATTCTTTGATATAGTTTAAAGATGTCTCTTAAGGTTTTTAGGATAGATGATGATATAATAATTTTATTTCTGGGCATGATACTGTTTCCACTAAAACATAATGATGGACATCAAATTGTCAGAGAAATTGATAGCCAGTACATTGGCTTTTGTAAGTACAGTTGAACATTTTATAATATAATTATTTTAATTTTTATATCAAAATAAAAATCTCCATTTTTCTTTATTAGACAAAATGCTTATGACCCCTCTCACTCTTTTCCTCCCTCTCTTTACTCCCTTCTGCTTTCCCTTCTTTCTGTCTTCTCCCTTCCCTCCACATGTCATGGTAATATAAAAACCACCTTAATGGCCAGCATTGAGATATTCTGGAAATGTTCTAATGCCAGCTGTAGAAACAGGCAATTATGTATAAATTGAACTGTTCATTTAGAATAATTGTTTTTCACTTCCGTGTTAGAAGCAGTAGAGTGAGTTTTTCTAAGCAGTGGTGCTCCTGTGGAAAATTTAAGTCCTGAAACAAGACAAAGGATTGTTTTGTGTTTGTGCTTATAACTTGTATATGTTTGTCAATCTGTGTCAACAGTATCGGTCAGGGCGGGATCTTCATCGAGGTGCAGACAATGTTTCCACTAAATCTTCAGACAGTGATGTAAGTGATGTGTCAGCTGTATCAAGAACTAGCAGTGCATCTCGTTTCAGCAGCACAAGTTATATGTCTGTTCAGTCAGAACGACCAAGAGGAAATAAGAAAATCAGGTGAGTAAATAGAACTTATGTGGGCAACCTCTTTTCAATGTATTATAGGTGATTATCATTTTCCTTTGAAGAAAGCTAAGTTATACTTTCCTAAAAGATATATAGATCAAGTGATAAGGTAAAAGAACATTGGAGATATGATTTGTATTACTATTAGGATCTTATTTCAGATTTCTTGGATAGGGAAAATTTTCTTGAACCCAGTAAAAATTTCCCCTGCTAAACAATGGGAAATGGTAGCAATGTCCATACTTTTTGTTCATGTTAACTATTTTTAATTAAGTACTTGATTTGTATATATATGTCAGTACATCGTATTAGCATGTATTTGCTCTATGAGGACTTCAATTATCGAAAATAGAAAGCAATATAGAAAGTAATTTTCTAGAATGCTTACTAAACACATATCAGTGACTCAGAAAAAGTTAGGATAGTTCTTAGTACTTTTATCAATAGATTTCTATCATACTCCTCCTAGGTTTTCACGCATGCATGAAAAAATTCTCTTTTATGATGGAACTTAAAATATATTTGATTAATTCCTTTAAAATAGAAATAAGAAATTTATACTTTACATCTAATCTATGAAAATTTCAGGTACCTGTACCAACATTATGTGAAAAAAATATATATTCAATATAGGTACTCCTCATGGATAAAAATAATATCCATAACACAGATTGCATATGCTTTTGCCTTGTTTGCATACAGCCTCATGAGAGGGAAAAATGTGATATACCAACCATTCTGAGTAAGTGTTGGTCCCTTAGTGCTTCTCTGGTAAATACAAAAGTTTTCAACTATAAAAATAATACAGAATTTTTATTTATACTTTCCTATTTTACTTTTTCATTCTCCTTTCTGTTTAATTTATTTTTGTGTACTGTATGCATGTTTTTTTCCTGACTTTCTTTTTTGTTTGTTTGCATGCCTTCTTCAATTTTGGTTATCTACAAAAGATCAAAAGGAATAGAGGAGGGTGGGCAAGAAGGGGATATGCACGAGGAGATAGTTCGTGAGGAAAAGAAACAGGAAGAAATAAAGGAAGAAGGAATTAATGAAAAAGAACAAGGGAAAGAGCTAACAAAAAATTCTAATAATGAAAAAGACAGAGAATCAGGAGATGAGGAAAAAATACAAGATAAAACTCAGGAAAGGAAACAAACAGAACAGTGGAATTCAAAAGATTTACAAAGACGATTCTCCCAAGATGATGACAGGTAATATATACTTGTTTCTGTAGAGATTTCCCATAAGTACCTTCGTTGCCCTCCTCCATCCTTGAAAACTGTTTCATTTGTTTTACTTTACCTTCTTTTGTATTGTCTACTTCATTCTTATTACAATTTTTGAATGCCTTAAAATTTTCTGCTATAATATATTGAAGTCATGCCAATTAATAATTATAGTCACTTGCCTTCAATTTCTGTTTATTGAATTATGGTTGTCTGCTTAATTAATTAAGTTATCTGCTTTACTTTTTGATTCTGTCCATGTGTGATAAATCAAATTAGATTAAAGACTTCTTTTTAGAACATTTAAATCAATTATACTTTATGAGATTGATAATAAAGGTGGCATGTATTCTAGTAACTGTACACATTTCAAGAATACTGTATAAATGATACATATCTTTGAGTAAAATTTTAGCCTACTTTACTAAATAATTAGATGATTATGTAAAATAAATTTCACGCAAACAAGGAAATTCAGAAATGAATGCCATTGTTGATATGGTAACAAAAGAAAGCTTTATTCAGTATTAATTTCTCTTTGCTTTAAGCCCTAAGAAGTCCAGGCATCTAGTTTTTTGTAGGCTTTTCAGTATTCCTTCCTTTGCAACCTCCCATCCTACCACCACAACAAACAAGAAAATAGATATGAAACTATCCTGGAAAGTGCATCCTAATTAAATTTCTTCTGAGGTAAATGTAACAAATATTCCTTTCCTTGACAAATCAGACAATCAGGGAATGCCTTGCAAAGTGAAGGTTTTATTTCATACCTGGCAGCTTTTAGACTAGACAGATTGGTTGGAGCAGCCAGTTAGTTTCAGGTGGGGGTGAGGGTCAGATGATGGAGGGTAACCAAGCTGAGAAAACAAGATATAAAAACATACAATTTTAGTACTTGATAGAACACAATGTTAATGATTGTGGTGATAATGATGATATTTATATAGTACTTTAAGGTTTGTGAAGTGCTTTACATATCATATTTTATTCTTATACTAACCCTGTGGAGTAGTGCTGTTCCTATCCCCAATTTACAGATTAGGAAACTGAGGCCAAGGGATGTTGGGACTTGACCAGGGTAACAGAGCTAGTAAATATCTGAGGCACCATTCGAACTCACAGATTTTCCTGACTGCAAGTCTAGTTGTTCTATCCACTGTACCAAGTAGCTGAACAGAACACAAAAATATAACAAGAACACAATAACAAATTATCACTTTGTAATACAAATATATGAAATTTCTTATCTCAAATCCATTCATTTTAAAGATTTAAACTCATAAACTTAAGGATAAAAGAGATCTTGAAGGTCTTCTGTTACAAAACCCTCATTTTCTAGGTGTGGAAACTAAGTCCCAGAGAGGCTAAATGACTTGCCCAAAGCCATACCTCTAGTAAGGGTTACAAGTGGGACTTGAATGAAGACTTCGTTGATTCTAAGGCTAATAGTCCTTCTGAAGTTATTTATTGCAACTGATTTCTTAAAACTTCACTTGAAATAGTTAAAAAATTTGAAACTTTTGTCAATTAAAACTATAATCTTACTTATGATTGGTCATCAACATGTATATATTATGACAAAATTTGCATCATTGTAAGGTGACCAAATTGCTGGTTGGGCTCTATGCTTTTTAAAGCGTTGAATACATGATATAGTTTTTCCTAATGGGCATGTTGTCTAGATAATGTAAGACATTTTATTTTCTTCACTTTCACAAAGTGTCACATGTTAGCTAGTGTCATACACCTAATCAATAATGATATTTCAAACATTATATGTTATATAATTTTAGTCTAAACTGATGGTCTCTATGACTTCTTGATTATACTAGGGAAAGATATTTTCTTTGATTTATTTCTGAAGAAAATTGTGGAATTCGTGAATAACAGAACTAGTCTCATTAATTCAGATAAATACTTTATATGCATTTGTGGGAAACAATTACATAACATATTTTCCTTTCTCTATAGAAGTTGAATAAGTTGTTCCACTGCATGGTGTTAATTTCCACTCTGTAGACTCTAGTGATAGCAATGTGTTCTCCCAAGAGTAGTAGTGACACTATATCACTCATATGTTTGGATATCAAGGCCGTAGTAAGAACCAAAATAGTCATCAGGTTGTAGGGTATTGGAATTTAGAAGAATAAGATAGTCCCCAACTGCCCCTCCTGTTAAAAGTGGGTATATTAGATATTCCTGTCTAGTTGTAAGAAAAATATCTTTTTCAAAGGCATTTGTACTACAGTAAAATATATATATGGATTCTTTATCACTTTTTTGGTTGTCTGCCATATAATTGGAAGTCTCCATCTACTTCTTGGCTAAGAGGGATAAGCATTTATTAAGTAACCACTAAATGCCAGGCACTACAGTAAATGCTTTATAAATATAATCTCATTTGATCTTCACAGCAACTGTATGAGGTAGGTGCTGTTATTCTCTCTATTTTGCAGTTGACGAAACTGAGATAAATGGAGATGAGATGAAGATCCCAGGGTCACAGCTAGGAAATGTCTGAGACTGGATTTGAACTCAGGCTTTCTTGACTCCAGGCCCAGCACTCTATCCACTGTGCCACTAAGCTGCCTCTGGCTAAGACCTTTGATATCAAGAATTATCCTAACTCTAAGAATTCTCAGGGGACAATTTTTCTCTGTCCCACTAGGCAATCCCCTCCCTGGAATGAAGGTATGCCTGAGGATGTATACTATATAGAGAATGGTGACAATTGTCCATTTCGCTCCTATTACTCATTACTTATCCCTTCCTGTAAACAGGCATCAGGAGAGCTTTTAAGTTTTCACGATACTCATATCCATAGTAACATTCAAGTAGTAGTTCATGCAAATTCATAAACATAATTGTTCATATTTGTCTTTAACGAAATTTGTGATTCATGTGACCAAAGACGTGGAAGGTGACATTTTGTCCAATCCCCATACAGTCTTAAAAATTCTCTAACATAAGAATTATGTGCAAGAGGTAAAGTAGTTACAGCTTTCTTGCCAAAATAAGACACCGAAAAGTCTAATGAGGGAACAACCTGATAAATTAACAGCAGAGGAGTAATTCCTAACATGGTCTGTATTTTATGGAAAAGGAAACTGATTCTCAGAGAGATTTAAAAAAGAAAGAAAGAAAAGTAAACAGCACATGTTATATTGTAAAGGGCCAGAACTTGGAGTCATAAAACCTGACTAGTTCTTATTTGTCTTTGAGGAAGTCACTTAAGATCTCCAAGTCTTAGTTGTCTCACCTATATAGTGGAGATCAATACTTAGACTATCTACTTCATGGAATTAGGAGTATTTGTAAACTATAAAACACTGTGTAAATCAGTTGTTATTTTTAAGTGACCTTTCAGAGGCCATGTAGTCACAGAGCCTAAAAAGAACCCAAGTGCCCTTCACCTGAATACTTTGCATTTTTATTTCAAAAAGAGCCTGATAAAAATAATGTGATGATTGCTATAAATTTTCTGTATATTACAAGGATTCTAATAAATCACAAGCTTAATCATGTTCCATAAAGCGAACCACAACTATAATACACAGTAAAAACCTGAAATAACCTGGGCATATCCTGGTATCTTCCCTGTACAAATGTTATGAAATATTGACACTAATATAGTTTTTGTTCATAATAGCTCTGAAAAAAAGATGCAGAAAGTAATTTGCTTTCATGGACAAAGGAAGCCAATAGCAGAGTTAGAGTCTAAGAACAAATGATGCATGTGCTAACAAATCTATACCAGTTTTAAAAGACATAGCTGGCTTTCTAAAAAATTAACTTTATATATCTTTCAGGACTTTAATTTTTAAGCACATTTAAGGAGATAATGAGGAACAGGAAAAACCACAGAAAGTTGAAGTTTGAATTTTGCCTCTGTCATTTACTTTTTGTAATGTTAGCTAAATCACTTAATTTTCTATGCACTCAGTGTCATCATCTATAAAATGGAGATGATAGTAGAACTAGCATTTTACTGGGGATAAGGCAACACAGGTTTTAAAAGCAGCTGTTGGTACATGAACTTAGACAAATCACCTCATCCCTATGGTCCTCAGCATTTTTGTTTTGTTTGTTTTGCTTTATTTTAAGCTTTTGTGACATCTATTTCTAATTTGGTCTTGCCACTGGAAGAATAGCTATTTGTATTGTCTTTGAAAATAGCTTGTTAGGAGATATTTTTTTCGATGCAGTAAGGCAAACTATGGGAGTTAATTTTTATCTATGATGTTCTATGAGAACACGTCTGTGAAGAAGACAGAGAAAGGAGATGGAGAGATCTTTTCTGTTAAATCTCTTTTCATTGTCTTGTAAAGAGAATTTTCAAGAGACTATGAAAAAGAGTAGCTTGAGAAAAGCTTGACTCAGGATGTTTCCTGTTAAAGCTAAAGAGAGTACAAAGAATAAGGACTGATATAACATATTTCCTGAGAGACTGAGAAATATGACAGCGATTCTTGAAAGACTTAAAATCAGTATCTGAAGTGAACTAAATTGTATTGTGTTTGTTTGGAGTGAAGAGGAGTCATCTTCAGTTTTAAAGGGTGTGAGGTGACTTTGGCTGTGAACTTCCAAGTAGCCAAAATTTTATAAGTAGTTATCGATGCCTTTATTATTGTCCAAGAAAAATATTAACATGCTAATTTACATTTTAACCATAGTCCTGCCAGAAGCAACTTTTTTTAAATTTTGTCATTATTCTCCTCTACAGATTATTCTCTGGAGAGAGAAATATTCAAACTGACATACTCCCTTCAAGCCGTTACATATTTCTCACATATGACATTTTGAAGTAACTTTCATTGCAAGGGTTCTTACAGGAAAAAAAAACTTTCATAACTGGAATTCATGGCCTTTTAAGATAGTTTATTGTATTTTAAATAATTGATTCTTTTCAAAATCTCATGTAATTTATTTTATTCATTTAAAACTATTATTCTGAGGTGTTGATAGACTTCATCAGACTGGCACAA